CAGCACCACAGCAGCAGCAGCAGCCACCAGCAGCAGCACCAGCAGCAGGCAGCAGCAGGCAGGCACCCGCAGGCACCCGCAGGCAGCTGCAGGCAGCAGCAGGCAGCAGCAGGCAGCAGCAGGCAGCGGCAGGCAGCGGCAAAGTTTCAATTTTACAGTATGGTTTCAGAAGTGACATTAGGTCCTTTTTTGGGGTTACTTTGCTACGTTTTGGACACGAAATTAGGTGGTGTTTTGTTGTTCCGGATGTGTTTCGAAAAGGGTGTCTGGCTGTTTGTTTCTTGCTTTGGCGGCTGTTTGATTGCAGCAGCACCACAGCAGCACCACTGCAGCAGCAGCAGCCACCAGCAGCTGCACCAGTAGCAGGCAGCAGCAGGGAGCAGCAGGCAGCAGCAGGCAGCAGGGAGCCGCAGGCAGCAGCAGGCAGCGGCAGGCAGCGGCAGGCAGCAGCAGGCAGCAGCAGGCAGCAGCAGACACCAGCAGAGGCAGCAGCAGGGAGCAGCAGGCAGGCAGCAGCAGGCAGCAGCAGGCAGCAGCAGGCAGCGCCAAGCAGCGGCAAAGTTGCGATTTTATAGTATAGGGTTTCAGAAGTGATGTTAGGCCCTTTTTTGGGGTTCCTTTGCTACGTTTTGGGCACGAAATTAGGTGGTGTTTTGCTGTTTCGGATGTGTTTCGAAAAGGGTGTCTGGCTGTTTGTTTCTTGCTTTGGAAGCTGTTTGATTGCAGCAGCACCACAGCAGCACCACAGGAGCAGCAGCAGCCACCAGCAGCAGCACCAGCAGCAGGCAGCAGCAGGGAGCAGCAGGCAGCAGGCAGCTGCAGGCAGCAGCAGGCAGCAGCAGGCAGCAGCAGGCAGCAGCAGACACCAGGAGAGGCAGCAGCAGGCAGCAGCAAGCAGCAGCAGGCAGCGGCAGGCAGCGGCAAAGTTGCAATTTTATAGTAGGGTTTCAGAAGTGACGTTAAGCCCTTTTTTGGGATTCCTTTGCTACGTTTTGGGCACGAAATTAGGTGGGTGTTTTGCTGTTTCGGATGTGTTTTCGAAAGGGTGTCTGGCTGTTTGTTTCTTGCTTGGAGGCTGTTTGTTGCAGCAGCCACCAACCGCAGCAAGCATCCCCAGCAGCATCACCGCAGCAGGCCGGAGCACGAGCGCAGCAGCTGCGCAGCAGGGCAGCAGCAGTAGCAGCAGCAGCAGCAGGCATCAGCAGGCAGCAGCAGGCAGCAAGCAGACACCAGCAGAGGCAGCAGCAGGCAGCGGCAAGCAGCGGCAAAGTTGCAATTTTAAGGCAGGCAGCAGCAGGCAGCACCAGGCAGCAGCAGGCAGCAGCAGGCAGCAGCAGACACCAGCAGAGGCAGTAGCAGGCAGCGGCAGGCAGCGGCAGGCAGCGGCAGGCAGCAGCAGGCAGCGGCAGGCAGCGGCAAAGTTGCAATTTTATAGTAGGGTTTCAGAAGTGACGTTAGGCCCTTTTTTGGGGTTCCTTTGCTACGTTTTGGGCACGAAATTAGGTGGTGTTTTGCTGTTTCGGATGTGTTTCGAAAAGGGTGTCTGGCTGTTTGTTTCTTGCTTTGGAAGCTGTTTGATTGCAGCAGCACCACAGCAGCAGCAGCAGCAGCCACCAGCAGCAGCACCAGCAGCAGGCAGCAGCAAGGAGCAGCAGGCAGGCAGCAGCAGGCAGCAGCAGGTAGCAGCAGGCAGCAGCAGGCAGCAGCAGGCAGCAGCAGGCAGCAGCAGGCAGCAGGCAGCAGCAGACACCAGCAGAGGCAGCAGCAGGCAGCAGCAGGCAGCGGCAGGCAGCGGCAGGCAGCGGCAAAGTTGCAATTTTATTTATATAGTAGGGGTTCAGAAGTGACGTTAGGCCCTTTTTTGGGGTTCCTTTGCTACGTTTTGGGTACGAAATTAGGTGGTGTTTTGCTGTTTCGGATGTGTTTCGAAAAGGATGTCTGGCTGTGTGTTTCTTGCTTTGGAGGCTGTTTGATTGCAGCAGCACCACAGCAGCACCACAGCAGCAGCAGCAGCCACCAGCAGCAGCACCAGCAGCAGGCAGCAGCAAGGAGCAGCAGGCAGGCAGCAGCAGGCAGCAGCAGGTAGCAGCAGGCAGCACCAAGCAGCAGCAGGCAGCAGCAGGCAGCAGCAGACACCAGCAGAGGCAGTAGCAGGCAGCGGCAGGCAGCGGCAGGCAGCGGCAAAGTTGCAATTTTAAGTAGGGTTTCAAAAGTGACGTTAGGCCCTTTTTTGGGGTTCCTTTGCTACGTTTTGGGGGCTGTTTGATTGCAGCAGCACCACCGCAGCACCACAGCAGCAGCAGCAGCCAGCAGCAGCACCAGTAGCAGGCAGCAGCAGGGAGCAGCAGGCAGGCAGCCGCAGGCAGCCGCAGGCAGCTGCAGGCAGCAGCAGGCAGCAGCAGGCAGCAGCAGACACCAGCAGAGGCAGCAGCAGGCAGCAGCAGGCAGCAGCAGACACCAGCAGAGGCAGCAGCAGGCAGCAGCAGGCAGCAGCAAGCAGCAGCAGGCAGCGGCAGGCAGCGGCAAAGTTGCAATTTTAAGTAGGGTTTCAGAAGTGACGTTAGGCTCTTTTTTGTTGTTCCTTTGCTACGTTTTGGGCACGAAATTAGGTGGTGTTTTGCTGTTTCGGATGTGTTTCGAAAAGGGTGTCTGGCTGTTTGTTTCTTGCTTTGGAAGCTGTTTGATTGCAGCAGCACCACAGCAGCAGCAGCCACCAGCAGCAGCACCAGCAGCAGGCAGCAGCACGGAGCAGCAGGCAGGCAGCCGCAGGCAGCCGCAGGCAGCCGCAGGCAGCTGCAGGCAGCAGCAGGCAGCAGCAGGCAGCAGCAGACACCAGCAGAGGCAGCAGCAGGCAGCAGCAGACACCAGGAGAGGCAGCAGCAGGCAGCAGCAAGCAGCAGCAGGCAGCGGCAGGCAGCGGCAAAGTTGCAATTTTATAGTAGGGTTTCAGAAGTGACGTTAGGCCCTTTTTTGGGGTTCCTTTAGCCTGTGCTGATTAACATTTACTCTTTATCTAAACTACTCCAAGATCGACAAAACATGATGCTGGCTAGTTGAGTCCCTAAAGTAGCTAAAGGCTGGAAACTATCAACCAATTGTCAAAAAAAACTCAGACCATCATCTGATATATGATATAACTGTCATATAACCACATGACCATTCTTCCGGGGTCGGCGGCAGGGGCGGCAGCCCTTAAATAATGCTTAAAAAAATGCATATGTATACATGTACTTGTGTAATATATATACCAGTAGTACCGCACAAGGCGGTGGCGGAAGTTTCAAAAATAGGAAACCTATAGGAGAGATTGATTGTTGTGAATCACGGATGGCAGAGCGAAGCCACTGATGGACCGAAAGGTGGTTGGAGCTGTGTTTGCTGGAGTGGTTGCAATGGTGGCAGTGGTCACCTCATCCACAACTGCTGGATGTAGTGTGATGTACAGCAACTGTAGTTGTAGTTGTAGCGTAGTGGAGTTGTAGCTATGGTGTAATGTAATTAGTGTAGTGTAGTTGCAGTCATATAGTTGTAGCTGTAGTTGTTTTGTAGTTGTAGTTGTTGTGTAGTTGTAGTTGTAGTTGTTGTAGTTGTACTTGTAGTTGTAGTTGTTGTTGTAGCTGTAGTTGTTGTGCAGTTGTAGTTGTAGTTGTTGTGTAGTGTAGTTGTAGTTGTTGTTGTAGTTGTTGTTGTTGTAGTTGTTGTTGTTGCTGTTGTTGTAGTTGTAGTTGTAGTAGTAGTAGTAGTAGTAGTAGTTGTTGTTGTTGTTGTTGCAGATGTAGTTGTTGTTGCAGATGTAGTTGTTGTTGTTCTAGTTGTAGTTGTAGTTGTTGTTACTGTTGTTGTTGTTGTAGTAGTTGTTGTTGTTGTAGTTGTTGTAGTTGTTGTAGTTGTAGCTGTAGTTGTTGTAGTTGTAGTAGTTGTAGTTGTAGTTGTAGTTGTAGTAGTAGTAGTAGTAGTAGTTGTAGTAGTAGTAATAGTAGTGGTAGTAGTAGTAATAGTAGTAGTAGTAGTTGTTGTTGTTGTTGCTGTTGTCGTCGAAGTTAGGGTAGTTAAGTTAGTGAAGTTAGTTAAGTTAGTCAAGTTAGTTAAGTTAATCAATGTCTACTTTTTCGACATCTTAACGTCAAAAAAGGCTCAAAACCCTCAGTTTTTTACACTTTTGACTTCAAAATGTGCTTCGCGCCACAACGGCGTGCACTTTTTCGACATCACAACTTCCAAAAGTGTCCGGACCTGGTGTGTTTTTCGCGCCACAACGGCGTGCACTTTTTCGACATCTCAACTTCCAAAAGTGGTCCGAACCCCTGGTGTTTTGTACATTTTGACTTGGAAATGTGCTTCGCGCCACAACGGCGTGCGCTTTTTTGACATCTCAACTTCCAAAAGTGGTCCGACCATGGTGTGTTTTGTACATTTTGACTTCGAAATGTGCTTCGCGCCACAACGGCGTGCAATTTTTCATCTCTCATCTGGCCAGCTGGCTCCGCACCCGCCGCTTTAGCGAGCCTACTTTTCGACCCACCGGAGCCACAAATCATTGGAAAAACACAGTGAATCGCGACTTTCCTACCTTTTCGCGCATCTGCATCTTCTTTCTTCTGATCTTGTCTCTTCTGACTCTTCTCACCTCTGCTTTTCAACTGTCCATATTGTCGGAAGTTTCACTTCTAAACTTCCTTCGATTAATGGTATTTTTATATCACTGCTATTTTCAAATGCATTCAAGTGGCCAGGAGGCACAAACACCAGCCCAAGGCGATATATGCCAGTGGCAAACTGCCAGCGAGCGCCAATTGGCCTGGCCAACATTGAACCCCGGACAAAAATGACAGGTAGCCATAGATGGTATTACCTGAAATATAATCGAGATGGTATTAATTGGTATGATCAAAAAATGATACCTCAGGGAATTTGATCATATAGGACACCTGAAATATCCTCGACTCAAATCATCATTTCATATTCAAATCACCATTTCTTTCAACATTTTGGACCAAATTTCAGTAGCAAAAATGAGACTTCCCTCCAGTTAGATCAGGGCAATATGCCAGGGTACTCGACCAGCCACGCAGGTTCTTTGTGAACATGTTGAGCAAGACTGTCAGCAAGTACCTGCAGACATTTGATGGCTGTGTGATGGTGTTTCCACTGCAAAATCAAAGACACTTTTCTGTGCATTGAGTGCGTTCATGATTTTCCGACTTAGAAAAAGACGTTCCTGATGTCCACTTTGCTTTGGAAGAACAAGACCACCGCATCAACCAACAAATCACTGATGTGTTTCCCATGCGACAGCCACTGTGGTCACATTGCCGGGAGAAGCGTGATGAGGAGCAGTAGCTGCAGCAAGCCGGGTGCCAGCAGTGGATAGAAGATGCAGACTGCCCTGGGAGAATGCTGTTTCCAAGGCTTTTCTGACTGTGGGTCAACCTGTCATGCCTTCCATCATTGTGAGTCATGGTGCCTATAAAGAAGAAATTGCTGCCAGTGATGCTGAACTCCTGTTCAGCAAATGTATCATTCAGACACAATCCAAAAAATCCAAAAAGTATCATATCATATCATAAATCATATCATAAATCATTATGTCATATCATATATCATTATATCATGTATCATTGTATTGTATGATGGGAAGTCTATGATCATTGCACTTCTGATATCTTCGAATAAGTGCCTTGCCCGCCTGCGCAACCAGCGGCGCCCCCAGCTGCTGGCCGGAGCTTTGCTCAAGGTGCCACGGCGCATGATCACACCAGGATTGCCTATACAGCGACGATGGCAACGATGGCTTCATGAACCAACTTGTGGTATCTATATAATGGAAAAAATGTACCAAAAAAAATGTTTCCAGAAGAACATCATGAAAAAAAGTGGCTGTTAAAGCAAACTATGACTCGAGTAGGTTGTTTTTGCCATTGACATGCAAATTGGAAGTGGATCCAGAACCATCACAGCACATGTGATCCAAATGTGTCTGAGGCCGATACCAACAAGTTGCAGGTCCGATTTCACTGGTCTTCCAGCAACACTCATGGCGCCCACAATGGCTCGAGACTCAACCTTGGCACAGGCGGCAGCATGCCACAGCGACACATTTCTGATTTAATCCCAGCTTTACTGAGGCAGCTGAGGCAGCTACATGTGAGTGTGGTAACATCACAGCGTCCCCAGCAACGATGGCACCTTTTCCAACCTGCCATGCGCTGCCATGCGCTGCCATGCGGTGCCATGTGGCCAGCGTTTCCCTGAAAGTGTCCGCAGCATCTATTCACTGCTAGCCTTCCAAGGTTTTATCTCAACAGCTAAAGGTTAGTCATTTTGACTCTTGACTTTCACAAAAGTACAACCTATTGCTCTGGTACCAAGCGATACTGTTTGGCTCAAGCGGTTTTGTCTGAGAATAGAGAACTGGAAAGATACCATATGATACCCTAAAAATGTGCCAGATTGTGTTTTGTGCCATGGTTTGTCAGTTTCTCACATTTTATCATCATTTTCAGTTAATTAATTACATCAAACTGCATTTTTTGGGGGGAACGCCGACCCAATCTTCAGTGCCTGGCAGTCGCCCAGAGCTTGGTGGCTCAAGAGCAAGGCGCCCTGACACGGCATCGACTGAGATCCCAAAAACAGCAAACTTTCCTCAAAAGGCAAACCTAGACTTTGAATTATGGATCGACATCACCAGTTCATCATGGTGAGGCCTCTGCCACGTGCAGCTTCCGAGGCTCCAGTGGCGGCTCGCTGATCGCCACCGTCGCGAACAAGGAGACGTCACCGCCCAGGAGGCGTAGGTACAACGACATCGCCTGCAGCGCAATACGGCAACACCAGGCAACACCAGGGAGATTGTGTGGGAGATTGTGTGGGATATTGATGAAGATTGTAAGGCAAGGACCCAGGTGCCCGAGAGCTGTGCAGGATAGCGGAAGAAGGTCAGCCTAACAGCATTTCGCAGCTGTGAACCAAGGCTGGGATGTTGCTTGTGATCCTTTGAATCGACTTTGCAAGTGATCTATGTGATCTTTCATCTGAAGTCCACCGATGTGACCGAGATGTGACTTGGAAGGGTTTTTCATGGTTTTTCCATCAGCATCTGGGAGGATCTGGGATCCCTACCTCAGCAAGACTCGACGAACCTGCGCAACTCTATGCCGACTCAGGACTTGCTGACAGCCCAGCCCAGTATGCCCAGTCCCGCCTGGAAGAACCAGTGGTTCTGATTGCGACTACCGCGAATGTGCCTGGTCATGGATTGAATCATGGAATCATGGTACATCATGAGTTACGTCATGAGTTACATCATGGGTTAAAAAACGGCAAATGCACAGCTGTGCCTGCAGAGAAGTCCGGAGAAGATGGTTAGAGACCATCCATAGATCTTAGCGGTTTGCTGGCAGGCTACCCCCATCTGTATTCCATCATCGCAGTCATCACTTCTGTGTCTCCAGGGTCACTGCTGCGAAACTCACAGCTACCATACCTGCCAGGATCTTGGAGAAATCGTTGATCAAAGTTGCACATGTGGAGTGAACATGGTCACATTGGCTATGGGTTAAAGGTTAAAACAGATTAACACCTTCAAACCTGGTACTCTAACATCAAAATAGTTGGATATAGTTGATAAATAGTGTTTCATCAAGCTTTATCTCCCAAAACCTATGGAAATTATGGAAAACCCTAGGTTTTTGATGATTTTCCCTAGGTTTTTGATGTTTTTTTCCCTACCCTACCCTGGATGATGCTGGATGGCCCCAATGGCACCTGCCAGGCGTAGGCCAAACTCCAAGCGACTCATCCCCAGATCCTGGCCCACCTGCATCACATTTCATCATGTCATCATGCATGGTGTTTTTTAATATTTCAATATAACTAATATTTAATATAACAATTACATACATCTACTATATAACAAATGTATGTCATAATGTATTTCATAGTTTCGTGAAACAGTTTCAACATGATCTACGAATGATGCGAGTCGTGAAAATCCTGCGACATCGTGCCCCTGTGGCACATCTCGCGACACCTGATCTGTGAGGCTGGCCAAATCCAGACCCAGCAGCACGTCTGCAGATGCCTGGTCTGTTTTGGGACGTTGGAATCACATCAACACCATTGATGATATTGAAGCATAGCAACCATAGGAACATCACAATATCAACATCATATGAACATTGTAACATATTGTAACATTGTCATCAACTGTTTTGATTTGATGATATTTGATGTTCCCCTTTGAGTGGTGAAAACCAATCAACATATATATCATCACCCAAATGCCTGTCACACCGACCATGCAGATTGGTCTGAGGAATCCCACCATCACTGGGGGACCAAAGAGAAGCCACGTGGCGGCAAACAGCCAACCCTCTGCTTGATCTTGCCACTGCCACACCTTGGGAGTAAACCCATCTGGTCTTCCCCTGGTGGCTTTGGGGAGCCTTGGATCTTGGGGATTGGTGTTGCCCAGATTTTTTGACCGTCCTGCCCCCCCCCCCGGAACAGCATGCAATGGCTTTGCAAGAAATCCAGAACTGTCTTTGGAGAACTTCAAATCGTGCAACAAAACACGAACTTTGCAAATCAACAAACCCTGTGCGAAATTCAAGTACCACGAGAAAAGAAGTAGTTTCCGATAGTTTCCGCCTTCCGCTTTCCACTCAAGATTCTCTCAAGCTAAGCCCATGGCATTGCCGTCGGCTTGACGGAAACCTTGCACCTTCGCGGCCAACCAATGTTTGCCGAACGACGGATGGCATCTCCGCATCTTGCCAAATTTCCGTGCCTCTGACAGGAAACCAAACGCGCAGTAGGCGCACATACTGCAGAGGGTCCTGACATCACACAGCATCGCAGAGCATCCCAATATATCCCAATCCACCAGGATTGGAATCTGTGGATTTTTGATGGTTTTCAGATGTTTTCAACATGGCAGTGCTGGAATTGACTGGAATTGACTGACAAGCATCTGCAAGGAGAGTGCCAGCAGCAAGGCAAAGATCTCTCCGAAGAGATCACGGCCTTGGAAGATACCATTGATATCCATTTGATATCCATTGATACTGCATATGGATTGCATATGGATTGCATAAATATGGCTGGTGAGCATTTCTGTGGCTAAGCCAGCCACAAAAGATGCCCGGAGGGAAACGAATCGGTTGCTGCCTGGCACCGGTTGTTACGTTAAGAGATTCGTTTTTTTCAACGGCAACGATGGATTTTCACGCGCCTGGATTGGACCAATGGAGCGCCCTTCCAAACCTGGACAGAGCAAAAGAGACTTAAATGACTTAAACATCAGTAACATCATAAATATATTTATAGAATTTTATAAAATAATGGGATATCCGCCGACCCCGGCCGACGGCAAGGGGGAGCGCGTCAGGGCAGAGAGGTTGTAACAACACCAACAGCAACACCAACACCAACAATAACAACAACAACAACAACAACAAGAACAACAACAACAACAACAACACCTTCAGAGGCATGGTGTTTTCCGCCCGGGAGGAGGTGATTTTTTCGAAGCTGTTTTACTGCCGCACCCGCAGGCAACAGAAGCTGTCGAAAAATGTTGTTTTTCTAGAATTTCAGACGACACGTTAGGCAGTTTTTTGGCGTGGTTTTGGAACTAGCTCGTCCTTCAGAAGCATGGGGTTTTCCCCCGGGAGGTGAGTTGGCGTTTCAGCGTTTCGAGTGGTGTCCATACACCAACACCAACACCAACACCAACACCAACAACAACAACAACAACAACAACACCTTCAGAGGCATGGTGTTTTCCGCCCGGGAGGAGGTGATTTTTTCGAAGCTGTTTTACTGCCGCACCCGCAGGCAACAGAAGCTGTCGAAAAATGTTGTTTTTCTAGAATTTCAGACGACGCGTTAGGCAGTTTTTTGGCGTGGTTTTGGAACTAGCTCGTCCTTCAGAAGCATGGGGTTTTCCCCCGGGAGGTGAGTTGTTCGAAGCTGTTTAGCTGCAGCAGGCGCAGGCAAAAGCAGCCGCAGGCAACAGAAGCTGTCGAAAAATGTTGTTTTTCTAGGATTTCAGACGACACGTTAGGCAGTTTTTTGGCGTGGTTTTGGACCTAGCTCGTCCTTCAGAGGCAGGGTGTTTTCCCCCGGGAGGTGATTTTTTGTAGGGTTTCAGAAACAACATTAGGTACTTTTCCCGGTCACTTTTGGAGCGTTTTGGGCACGAAATTAGGTGGCGTTTCAGCGTTTCGAGTGGTGTCCATACACCAACAGCTGTCGAAAAATGTTGTTTTTCTAGGATTTCAGACGACACGTTAGGCAGTTTTTTGGCGTGGTTTTGGACCTAGCTCGTCCTTCAGAGGCAGGGTGTTTTCCCCCGGGAGGTGATTTTTTGTAGGGTTTCAGAAACAACATTAGGTACTTTTCCCGGTCACTTTTGGAGCGTTTTGGGCACGAAATTAGGTGGCGTTTTAGCGTTTCGAGTGGTGTCCATACACCAACACCAACACCAACAACAACAACAACAACAACAACAACAACACCACCTTCAGAGGCATGGTGTTTTCCGCCCGGGAGGAGGTGATTTTTTCGAAGCTGTTTTACTGCCGCACCCGCAGGCAACAGAAGCTGTCGAAAAATGTTGTTTTTCTAGAATTTCAGACGACACGTTAGGCAGTTTTTTGGCGTGGTTTTGGAACTAGCTCGTCCTTCAGAAGCATGGGGTTTTCCCCCGGGAGGTGAGTTGTTCGAAGCTGTTTAGCTGCAGCAGGCGCAGGCAAAAGCAGCCGCAGGCAACAGAAGCTGTCGAAAAATGTTGTTTTTCTAGGATTTCAGACGACACGTTAGGCAGTTTTTTGGCGTGGTTTTGGACCTAGCTCGTCCTTCAGAGGCAGGGTGTTTTCCCCCGGGAGGTGATTTTTTCTAGGGTTTCAGAAACAACATTAGGTACTTTTCCCGGTCACTTTTGGAGCGTTTTGGGCACGAAATTAGGTGGCGTTTCAGCGTTTCGAGTGGTGTCCATGAGTCGAGCTGTTGCAGCTGACGTCAAAGCGACAGGACGCGACAAGACAGTTGTCACAAAGGCAGGCAAAAGATCTTTTTTTCTAGGCTTTGAGGGCAGGCAAAAGATCTTTTTTTCTAGGGTTTTAGAAGCAACGTTAGGCACTTTTCCCGGTCCCTTTTGGAGCGTTTTTGGCATGAAATTAGGTGGCGTTTCAGCGTTTCGAGTGGTGTCCATGAGTCGAGCTCGGCAACGGCAGCAGCCTTCTAGTATGCTTCAGTTCCCTCATGTCTTCAGTTCTAGTAGGATTCCAGAAGTCAGCGGCAATGGCAGTAGCAGCGGCAGCAGCAAGTCCGCAGCAGCGGCAACGGCAGCAGCCTTCTAGTATCCTTCATCAGTTCCCTCAAGTCTTCACTTCAGTTCTAGTAGGATTCCAGAAGTCACGTTAGAGAGTTTTTTGGTGCGATCCTGTGGCCCGTTCGTCCTTCCGTGCCCTGCTGTTTTGGTGCCGGGAGGTGCTTTTGGTACACTTCTGTCAGCAGCAGCAGCAGTAAGAGCAGCGGCAGTGGCAGTAGCAGCGGCAGTAGCAAGTCCAGCAGCAGCAACAGCAGCAGCGGCAACGGCAGCAGCCTTCTAGTCTCCTTCATCAGTTCCCTCAAGTCTTCAGTTCTAGTCGGATTCCAGAAAGTCCAGCAGCAGCGGCAGTGGCAACGGCAGCAGCTTTCTAGTGTCCTTCATCAGTTAGTTCCCTCAGGTCTTCAGTTCTAGTAGGATTCCAGAAGTCACGTTAGAGAGTTTTTCGGTGCGATTCTGTAGCCTGTTCGTCCTTCCGTGCCCTGCTGTTTTGGTGCCGGGAGGTGCTTTTTGGTGGCAGCAGCCTAGTATCCATCAGTTCCCTCAGGTCTTCAGTTCTAGTAGGATTCCAGATGTCACGTTAGAGAGTTTTTCGGTGCGATTCTGTAGCCTGTTCGTCCTTCCGTGCCTTGCTGTTTTGGTGCCGGGAGGTGCTTTTGATACACTTCTGTCAGCGGCAGCACCAGCAGCAGCAGCTGCAACGGCAGCAGCCGTCTAGTATCCTTCATCAGTTCCCTCAGGTCTTCAGTTCTAGTCGGATTCCAGAAGTCACGTTAGAGAGTTTTTCGGTGCGATTCTGTGGCCTGTTAGTCCTTCCGTGCCCTGCTGTTTTGGTGCCGGGAGGTGCTTTTGGTACACTTCTGTCAGCAGCAGCAGCAGTAAGAGCAGCGGCAGTGGCAGTAGCAGCAGGAGCAACGGCAGCAGCAAGTCCAGCAGCAGCAGCAGCGGTAACGGCAGCAGCCTAGTATCCATCAGTTCCCTCAGGTCTTCAGTTCTAGTAGGATTCCAGAAGTCACGTTAGAGAGTTTTTCGGTGCGATTCTGTGGCCTGTTCGTCTTTCCGTGCCCTGCTGTTTTGGTGCCGGGAGGTGCTTTTGGTACACTTTTGTCAGCGGCAGCACCAGCAGCAGCAGCAGCAACGGCAGCAGCCGTCTAGTATCCTTCATCAGTTCCCTCAGGTCTTCAGTTCTAGTAGGATTCCAGAAGTCACGTTAGAGAGTTTTTCGGTGCGATTCTGTAGCCTGTTCGTCCTTCCGTGCCCTGCTGTTTTGGTGCCGGGAGGTGCTTTTGGTACACTTCTGTCAGCAGCAGCAGCAGTAAGAGCAGCGGCAGTGGCAGTAGCAGCGGCAGTAGCAAGTCCAGCAGCAGCAGCAGTAGCAGCGGCAACGGCAGCAGCCTTCTAGTCTCCTTCATCAGTTCCCTCAGGTCTTCAGTTCTAGTAGGATTCCAGAAGTCACGTTAGAGAGTTTTTCGGTGCGATTCTGTGGCCTGTTCGTCCTTCCGTGCCCTGCTGTTTTGGTGCCGGGAGGTGCTTTTGGTACACTTCTGTCAGCAGTAGCAGCGGCAGCAGCAGTGCCAGCAGCAGCAGCAGGAGCATCGGCAGCAGCAAGTCCAGCAGCAGCAGCAGCCTTCTAGTATCCTTCATCAGTCCTTCATCAGTTCCCTCAGGTCTTCAGTTCTAGTAGGATTCCAGAAGTCACGTTAGAGAGTTTTTCGGTGCGATTCTGTAGCCGGTTCGTCCTTCCGTGCCTTGCTGGTTTGGTGCCGGGAGGTGCTTTTGGTACACTTCTGTCAGCAGCAGCAGCAGCAGCACAGCAGCAGCAGCAGCAGCAGGAGCAACGGCAGCAGCACGTCCAGCAGCAGCAGTAGCGGCAACGGCAGCAGCCTAGTATCCATCAGTTCCCTCATGTCTTCAGTTCTAGTAGGATTCCAGAAGTCACGTTAGAGAGTTTTTCGGTGCGATTCTGTAGCCTGTTCGTCCTTCCGTGCCTTGCTGTTTTGGTGCCGGGAGGTGCTTTTGATACACTTCTGTCAGCAGCAGCAGCAGCTTTTGGTATATTTCTGTCAGCAGCAGCAGTAAGAACAGCAGCAGCAGCAGCAGTAAGAGCAGCGGCAGTGGCAGTAGCAGCGGCAGCTGCAAGTCCAGCAGCAGCAGCAGTAGCAGCGGCAACGGCAGCAGCCTTCTAGTCTCCTTCATCAGTTCCCTCAGGTCTTCAGTTCTAGTAGGATTCCAGAAGTTAGGATTTCAGAAGGGACGTTAGGGACTTTTTTAATGCGATTCGGCGTCATTTCCGGTACGAAATTAGGTGTTTTTGGGTGCGATTCTGTGGCCTGGTCGTCCTTCCGTGCCTTGCTGTTTTGGTGCCGGGAGGTGCTTTTGGTACACTTCTGTTAGCGGCAGCACCAGCAGCAGCAGCAGTAGCAGCAACGGCAGCAGCCGTCTAGTATCCTTCATCAGTTCCCTCAGGTCTTCAGTTCTAGTAGGATTCCAGTCACGTTAGTCACGTTAGAGAGTTTTTCGGTGCGATTCTGTGGCCTGTTCGTCCTTCCGTGCCCTGCTGTTTTGGTGCCGGGAGGTGCTTTTGGTACATTTCTGTCAGCAGCAGCAGCAGTAAGAGCAGCGGCAGTGGCAGTAGCAGCGGCAGTAGCAAGTCCAGCAGCAGCAGCAGTAGCAGCGGCAACGGCAGCAGCCTTCTAGTCTCCTTCATCAGTTCCCTCAGGTCTTCAGTTCTAGTAGGATTCCAGAAGTCACGTTAGAGAGTTTTTCGGTGCGATTCTGTGGCCTGTTCGTCCTTCCGTGCCCTGCTGTTTTGGTGCCGGGAGGTGCTTTTGGTATACTTCTGTCAGCAGTAGCAGCGGCAGCAGCAGCGCCAGCAGCAGCAGCAGGAGCATCGGCAGCAGCAAGTCCAGCAGCAGCAGCAGCGGCAACGGCAGCAGCCTAGTATCCATCAGTTCCCTCAGGTCTTCAGTTCTAGTAGGATTCCAGATGTCACGTTAGAGAGTTTTTCGGTGCGATTCTGTAGCCTGTTCGTCCTTCCGTGCCTTGCTGTTTTGGTGTTCCCTTCCGTGCCTTGCTGTTTTGGTGCCGGGAGGTGCTTTTGATACACTTCTGTCAGCGGTAGCACCAGCAGCAGCAGCAGCAACGGCAGCAGCCGTCTAGTATCCTTCATCAGTTCCCTCAGGTCTTCAGTTCTAGTAGGATTCCAGAAGTCACGTTAGAGAGTTTTTCGGTGCGATTCTGTGGCCTGTTCGTCCTTCCGTGCCCTGCTGTTTTGGTGCCGGGAGGTGCTTTTGGTATACTTCTGTCAGCAGTAGCAGCGGCAGCAGCAGCGCCAGCAGCAGCAGCAGGAGCAACGGCAGCAGCAAGTCCAGCAGCAGCAGCTGCGGCAACGGCAGCTGCCTTCTAACAGTTCCCTCAAGTCTTCAATTCTATAGTAGGATTCCAGAAGTCACGTTCGAAAGTATTTCGGTGCGATTCTGTAGCCTGTTCGTTCTTCCGTGCCTTGCTGGTTTGGTGCCGGGAGGTGTTTTTGGTACACTTCTGTCAGCAGCAGCAGTAAGAACAGCAGCGGCAACAGCAGTAAGAGCAGCGGCAGTGGCAGCAGCAGCGGCAGCAGCAAGTCCAGCAGCAGCGGCAGTGGCAACGGCAGCAGCTTTCTAGTGTCCTTCATCAGTTAGTTCCCTCAGGTCTTCAGTTCTAGTCTAGGATTCCAGAAGTCACGTTAGAGAGTTTTTTGGTGCGATTCTGTGGCCTGTTCGTCCTTCCGTGCCTTGCTATTTTGGTGCCGGGAGGTGCTTTTGGTACACTTCTGTCAGCAGCAGCAGTAAGAACAGCAGCAGCCGTCTAGTATCCTTCATCAGCTCCCTCAAGTCTTCAGTTCTCATAGGATTCCAGAAGTCACGTTAGAGAGTTTTTTGGTGCGATTCTGTGACCTGTTCGTCCTTTCGTGCCTTTCTGTTTTGATGCCGGGAGGTGCTTTTCGTACTCTTCTGTCAGCGGCAGCATTAGCAGCAACGGCAGCAGCCGTCTAGTATCCTTCATCAGTTCCCCCAGGTCTTCAGTTCTAGTAGGATTCCAGGAGTCACGTTAGAGAGTTTTTCGGTGCGATTCTGTAGCCTGTTCGTCCTTCCGTGCCTTGCTGGTTTGGTGCCGGGAGGTGCTTTTGGTACACTTCTGTCAGCAGCAGCAGCAGCAGCAGCAGCAAGAGCAGCGGCAGTGGCAGTAGCAGCGGCAGCAGCAAGTCCAGCAGCAGCAGCAGCAGCAGCAGCAGCGGCAACGGCAGCAGCCTTCTAGTATCCTTCATCAGTTCCCTCAGGCCTTCAGTTCTAGTAGGATTCCAGAAGTCACGTTAGAGAGTTTTTCGGTGCGATTCTGTAGCCTGTTCGTCCTTCCGTGCCTTGCTGTTTTGCTGTCGGCAGGTGCTTCTTTTGCTCTTCTGTCAGGATGTGTTCCATTTTGTTCGACGGCACGTGCGGCCATTCGGTTGCTTATGCTTGATTTGAATTCGTCCTGACTTTATGGTACTTTGGACAGAAGTTCCACAAGTAGGGCATGCATGCGAATAACGCTGCGTGGGCAATATGGGCCGGAGTAGCCCATCATGTACGCGAAATTGTTTCCCACAAATGCGTCGGTGGTCGATGTGTCCGGAAGCAATTGGAGTTGTAATTAAATCGTGGCAAAAAGGACACGTGTACACATAAAGCCGCTGCTGTGGTGCTGCTGCGGATGCTTGCAAGGCTTGGTTCAGATTTTCTTTGGTTACCGTCTTTTCTTGTGCGAAGTGGGGCCTCGTCATCTCGTCTGCGTCTTTTCTTGCACCTGTCGCGGGCTGACCTGTGCGTCTTTGTCGCTGTTGGGCAATTGCTTCCCAAGTCTCGCGCAGCACTTGATCGTGGCGCAATTTTTTCCGCAGCGGTTCCAGGCGGGCTCGGCCGGAGCTGGCAGCACGTTTGCGGAGCTTGCCTTGCACGAGCGCGGCGTGGCACGCATCGCATGTCTGCGTGCCATCTCGTCCAGAAGGCCGTTTTGCAACGAAGGTAGAAAATTGTTGTCGTGACTTCCGTAAGTGACACGATGCACACCTCCATGTGCCCCGGGATTTCGATTGGCATTGAAGGCACGTTCTTCGCTGTGGGTCCTGTTTTCCATGCTCCGGCACCGAAATATTCTTTAGTTTGTTTTTTGTTACAAACGACACATGTCTTGACGGCATCACAAGACAAGCAGACGCGATACATGCTCCACCGCGGGTTTTGGTGCTTTGACGCAAAGTGTGCCGCGGCAAACGCTACCAAACAATCTCTATAGATCTATATAAGTAAATTATCATGTTTCGCTAACCTGAATCTTGCGACCATTTAGGGATGATTTCTCTTGTTTACCTAGAACCTGTGACTTAGCCCATCCCCGGCCCATGAAAACCGAGCCTTCTTCAGAGAATAGGCTTCATCCACAAAAAGGACTCCACCAGTGGCTTTGGATGGAAAGTGTGGGATTCAATGGACATTCATGTTGTTTCATATCTGGCTGGTGGTATACCTACCCCTCTGAAAAATATGAGTAAGTCAGTTGGGGTTATTATTCCCAATCTATGGAAAAATAAAAAACGTTCCAAACCACCAACCAGATATGATTTCATGATTCAATCAGATCGCATGGTGATTTTAGTGGAAGTAATCGGATTTTGGATAGGGTTGATATGGGATTTTCCCAACAAAAAAAGCTGATTCATTGGATTTCATGACATGTTTCTATGGAAGCCCTGTGTTCGTTTACCCGAGGGTATATTTTAGCAATGCCAAAAAAGATATGTTTTTTGACAATAATCCTACTAGAATAGTGATAATTCAATATCGGCTATCTATGTTGGGTGCTCTCTATATGTCTTCATTTGATTTCACGTGAGTATACGTTAATATAGAATGAGTGTACTATATATATATGTGAATATTATATCTAATCATAGTGAGATGTATGATATATCATATGATATGTACAAAACTATACATACTGTATTGTATACAAATACGAGATATCCATAGATATCCCCGGTGGCCCCCAAACGATTTGCCATTTGGTTACCAAATAACTTGGAGTTATGGTGGATACATCTATAGTCAGATGGGATTATAAATCAACATATAACGGAAGGGGGTCCTGCGTACCTGTAAGCAAGCTATCAATCCAGCCGGTTTACCACGCCCGGTCCACCAAATCTTCTTCCAAAGTGACCACCCGGCCTTTTCCTCTTTCTATGTATAATAATAGGGCCCATATATATATATACATATATATATATATAATATCCATACTATTGTAGCAAGCGCCTCGAAAAGGCAAGGTGGGGGGTCAAAGAAACAAGGTGGAGGATCAAAAAATCGAGGTCCAATTTTTCCGGGGTCGGCGGCAGGGGCGGCAGCCCTTAAATATAAATAACATTCAGTTGGTTACTAAGACTTAAACTAAGACTTAAACTAAGACTTCAACCAGTTTCATCCAGTTTCCTTCTCTGATTTCCCTATCCTCTTGGCGCTCGAAATGATGCAACACGTCTTTGTTTTGTCCCCAATGGGCATCGTCACCAGTTGCCAAGGGAGCTGCGGAACCATCTGGTAGTGTGCGCCCGGTGCGCCCGGAAAACAAAGACCTGCCACGTGCACCGTTTTTGTCGTGTCGTCCACACATTTCCACACCATGTTTTCCTTCCTCTGGATATCTCTGGATTCAACGTGTTTGTTGATCTCAGTACAATTTCCTTGTTCATAGAAGAACCTGACCACAAAGAACCTGATCTTTTCACTTCGCTTCGGTACGACAAGCTGACCAAAACCATCCAAATACCAAGTACCAAGTTCTCATCTTCAAGCGTGCCCAGCAAGACAATGGCTGAAGTGTTACATTGTCTCCAGCCACACAACCAGCTGTACACACCTGAAAGTTCCGGTGTCCCAAAGCCCAAAACATCTCTTTTTTCTCTGTTTTTGTGTCTTCTTTATAGTTGAGATATGTTGAGATGATGCCATACAGTCATACATTCTCCAACGACACTTTCAAAATCTGTCAAAATCTTTCCGTGAGGCTCCAGCGGCATTTTCTCCCACGGCGCAATAATCTCCAAAGACCAGGCCGCGCAAATGGAGTGTCCCCGCCTCTCACAGGATGGATATGGAATGATATGGAACGATATGGAATATGGATGGAATATGAATGGAATCATATATTAAAAAAAGATCGATCTCCTTATTGGTACTGGATCCAAAGGTCTTTCTACATGATGTAATATGATGTAGTTCGTTAGATCCAACATTTTTCACTATCTTGCAACACAAACATGAAACAACCAGAAAGGTTCAATAGCTTGGATATAATTTGCAGAACTCAAAGAAGTCATGTTGCAATGCTTGGAATATCTTGGTGGTTGGAGCATGGATTCCGCCTCTGCCACGGCAGGCCGCAGCTTGGCGCCCTCGGAAATTCCGCAGAACTTTCCCAAGGTGATGAGGTCGAACCTGACCCATCAACGGCACAGAGAACAGCTACAGACTAACATAGCTATTGAAAATGGCCATAGAAATAGTGGAGTTTCCCATTCAACATGGTGATTTTCCATAGTTATTTGTATGTTTACCAGAGGGTCGTACTGTTAGACCCTTACACCGCTTATTCAGATCGGGTTTCTTCCCAGTGCAAACATGGTAAAAGTTTTGATAAATGCTGCAGAATGAAATACGAACACATCCACCATGGGCTCTTGGCCCCTCTTGGACCGTTTCGGTCAAAGTCTTGGTATCCGTGCTCAGAAATGTAACGCGTGTCGATGCGACAATATCCAGAAGCTCGCAAACCCAGCCTAGGCACAAAGGCACAGTGGCTACAGCAGGGCTTCGGTCGAAAACACACAGACTTTGGTTGTGGGAAACCGATGGAAACCGCCTTAAACCGGGGATGACATGGGATGGTTTTACCAGTTTTATCACCCATAAAAAGGGTAAAATCTTAGGGATGGCTGCAGCTAAGTATTGGGTTTACGACTTGACCATGACTATTTTCGTTGATCTTTGGAGTCTCAGTTTGAAAGCACCAAAAAAGTGCCATCCTGTGGTCCTGGCGCGCGCAAGTATAGAAACCATACCTGCAAAACCAGAAGGAATTGCATATCAAAATATATTAAAAAATATTTTTTCCATATCAACATATACTAAAATATACGTATATATCAAAGTAGCAAAAGTACTTGGAATCTGCTCTTTGTTCCATCCCACATCATCATCATCATCATCATCATCATCATCATCCCATCTGGGATCCAATTTTGTTCGCCAGGCGCACTGGACCCCCGCGGAAGGCACTGAAGCACAACTCATTCACAAAGATCACCAGTCGATCCTAAACCCCACAGTGGCTGCTAATCATGAAATCTTCCACTTGAACATCACCATTTGAACTGAACATCACCAGCAATATCAGCATCAGCGCATCTTCAAGTACTGTCTCACATGTCTCACATGATTCAATTGGTACATTTATAGCACATCTATGGTACATTTATGGTACCTTTAACATCTTTAACCAACATTTATGCTACATTTATGCTACATTTCACCAACCCTTCCAGTAGAATTCCCGTTCGTTCAACACGCTTGGACTCTAGGTGTCGTGCCACTGCCCACCAGCGTAGAAACGCCCATGAGTTCAGTGCCAGTGAACCTGGCAGCGAAGCCATCCAGCCATCAGCATTTTTATTTGGGATCCAAACCATGGAACCATTCCCAGTCATGGGTGGTAAAAAGGGTGGTTGATGACACTGGTAAAACACCCAGTCATGGGTGGTTATGACACTCTTTTTACCAATTTTACCCACACATTTTTTTTTGGAGCTCATCAGCACCTGCTCGATATTGGCCGACCACCAGCCACTTCGTCAAGACGACCTGACCAACTCCAACTCCAACTCCCATCGTCCATCGTGGTTCAGCTTTGTGAATATCTGAGAGGTCGACCAAGAACATGGTCGTCAACAAATACAAGGGGTAGCAGACAAGCCTCCACCACCAAAACACACCACCAAAACACACCACTTTCCGATGTCAAGATATGTCAAGAGGTAACTGAAGCAGCAACTGAGGCTCCAAACACCAAACATGCGAAGGCTGGAATGGCTCCATTCACCACCTGACAAGGCATCATCATATTTTTACCATCAAAACATCCCATGTCATCACCATTTTTACCATATGGCAGTGGGTCAAAACCTTGTACCCCTGGATGTTCATCCCTCTAAAAATGGTATTAATAGGTATTAATAGGTATTAACTCATAGCCATATCTTTTACCAAATCTTTTTACCATCAGAACATGTGGAACAGCATGGAACAGCAAGGCGGCCAAGGTACCACACTCCGAGCCAGGCTCAGAGGCAGCATGGCCGGCCAAATCACCACGCCGCTGATCCAAACCTCAGGCGTCGGCGTCGTGTCGGAGTGCTGAACAGTTGGGAAGTCGACCCAGGAACCGAGGACTGGACCCATACAAGCAGGCGACAAAGGAAGAAGCCAAGTGATCTCATACCTCCAAAGGTTTAGTGGGGCATAGTTGGGGAATGTTGGGGAAACAAGATCTCATTTAATAGCAGCAAGCTGAATCAGAAATGGACTTGTCAGTAGACTTTAGTAGACCTTTGATTCTGCCTTCGATATCTTCGATTCTGAAGACTGTGAACAACTGTGAACAAACTGCATCTCTACCAGCTACCTTTAAGATCTATTCTTGGCCGCGGTATGTATCGATCTTCTGCACCAGCTGCAGTCAACCTGGGTCTCATCGGGTCTCTCTGTCTGACTCTGTCTCGCCTCTAGAAACTCCCAGCTCGCAATGCGCGACCTCGATTTCCTGGCCGAAACGTACTTAAACCACGCTTGCAAAACGTTGCAAATATGGATAAATATATGGATAAACTGTGGTGTTTTTATCATAGGTGAATAGTTGCTATAGGGTTATACATAATATATATATATATACTATTCTATCGGGTCACCCCCACATATTTACATATATATTTTATGTAATTATAGTATATATAATATGTTATCCGGGTCACCCCCATATGTTTACATATGTATATATATGCACCAGGCCCTGCCACCCCCCCCCTCCCCCCACCCCCCATGGGATGGGTCCCATATACTGGCCCCATATGAGATCTTCCCCCTCCCCCCCTGTGGTGTGGTGGCGGTATGGCGCTGTCCCCCTCCCCCCCCTGTGGTGTGGTGGGGGTGTGGTATGGTATGTTGGGTATGTATGGTGTGTATGGTCGGTCTGGTATGGCATGTTTGGAAAGTATGGTATGTTTGGTATGTATGGTAGGTATGGTATGTATGGCATGAGTGGTTGGTATTGTATGGATGGTAGGTATGGTATGTAAGTCTGTTGGGTATGGTATGTTTGATATGACAGTATGTATGGTCTGTATGGTATGTATGATTACTATGATGGTATGGCATATTTCCTATGTAAGGTATGTATGGTATGTATGGCATGTATGTTTGCTATTGTATGTATCGTAGGTGTGGTAATTACATTTCATATGTATGGTATGTATGGTGTGTATGATAGATATGATAGGTATGATAGGTATGATAGGTATGATAGGTATGGTATGCATGGCATCATTGATTGATTGTTCGGTACGGTATATGTTAAACACAGGTGGTGTTGTCAGAGTACACAGGTAGTAAATAGGAAGTAGATACAGTAGATACATAGCACATGTATATATGACTATAGGTAGCACGTAGGTACTTTGAAGGAGTATATGTGCTACGTAGGTCGCCTAAAAGGTAGCATGTAGCTAGTAAATGCGAGGCTGGTAGTCAGAAATACTGCAAAGACCTAGCAAATACGAAGCTGGACCTCAGAAATGCTGCCAATAGCTTGCAAATAGAAGGGAAGGGGGGCTGCTACCTGGGGACCCAACCCATGGGGGGGGGGAGGGGGGGGGGTGGAGAGACGGAGGACGGGACCATATATATATATATATACTATCTTATCGGGTCACCCACACATACATATATATATACTTTAAACCCCACAACGCTTCCACTCAGCTATCACAGCAGCAACAGCAGCTGAATTGGGATTTGAGTGGATTTTTTCAAAAATTGGGATGATCGGGGTTCCTTAGAACGCTCGCTACCGGTAGTGAATTGGGGTTTGAATTGATTTTTTCTAAAATTGGGATGATCGGGGGCCCTTAGAACGCTCGCTACCGGTAGTGAGTGTTCTAAGAGGGAGCGACGGTCGCTCCCTGTTAGAACGCTATCTATCTTAAAAGCAGCAATTATACATATGGATGATTGGGGGGCCCTTAGAACACTCGCTACCGGTAGTGAATGGGGAATTCTTTCAAAAATTGGGACGATTGGGGTTCCTTAGAACGCTCGCTACCGGTAGTGAATGGGGAATTCTTTCAAAAATTGGGACGATTGGGGTTCCTTAGAACGCTCGCTACCGGTAGTGAATGGGGAATTCTGTCAAGAATTGGGATGATGGGGAGCAATTAGAACGCTCGCTACCGGTAGTGAATGGGTAATTCTGTCAAAATGGGTAATTTTTGAAAAAAGCCGGCTGTTGCTGCTGTGATAGCTGAGTGGAAGCGTTGTGGGGTTTAAAGTATATATATATGTGTGTGTATGTGTGGGTGACCCGATAAGATAGTATATATATATATATATGTAAACATATGGGGGTGACCCGGATAACATATTATATATATACTATAATTACATCAAATATATATGTAAATATGTGGGGGTGGCCGGATAGCATAGTATATATATATATATTATGTATAACCCTATAACAACTATTCACCTATGATAAAAACACCACAGTAAACCATGGATAAATATGAATAAACACGGATAAATATATGGAATGCTTCGTCTTCAAATTTGTCTAAATAAACAGCATATGAACAGCATCTTGTCCTCCCAGGCCCGGTCTGACTTGAAAAGACGCTGTGGGTTTCATGTTCTGCGTGTCCGATGTCGCCTCTCCCGCTGAAGACTCGTTGTTCGTCGCCTGTTGACATCTCGCAACTGTCCGTTGCTTATCCTTGTGGCTGCTACCCGGCTGCTACCCTTCCTATTCCAATTCATCGTCAGAATTGCTCACAGCACGAAGCAAATCAAGGAACCATCTTTTTCAATTCCCATAGGGTCCATGGTGCTGGTATATATGGTAACATGGATCCCATCAATATACCCCAGTCATGTTAGCATTAATATACCATACATGGATCCTATGGGATTGGAGAGGTTTCCATCGATTTCCATCGGATCCATCGGCTCTCGTTGCCTGAGTTGCCAAATGCTCTGCGATGGCTCTCACGGTCTGCAACTCATAGATAGCACTCAGCGGCATCGTCAGGCCTCATTATTTTGCAGGCCTATGGGTACAACATGGTACAACCTTCAATTGCATCAAATGAGAATGATTAAATCACATGACAAGTCATGACAACATGTATATAATGGATTATAATGTATATAACTGGAAATGACTATACAGTAATGACTATACAGTAAGAACTGGAAAACATGTTCGGAGTCGCTGTGGAGCGGACCCATATCTCGAAGCTTCTGCGATAAGAGCACTGCCCTCAAAGAGGTCATTCCAGCCTTAGACTTTGGATCTTTTGGACTCCCATGAGCTGAATCAAATCTGAATAACGAGCTGTTTGATCATTGAATATCATTGATCTCTCCAAGTTTGAGTCACCTTGAAACATCAGAAATACATCAGAAAAACAGTTCCAACATCTGAAAACATCTTATTTCTTTTCTTGTGAGACAAAATTAGGTCCAAAGCAACCCAAAAATGTCAGATTTCATGCAATGTAAGCATCACGTAAGTCCCAAACTGTTCGAAGGTCTGTGGTCACTCCAATCTTTTCAAGGCCCAACGCTTCAGCTGCTGCAGCCTGAGACGACGTTCCACAGATTGACATGTACCGCTTATTTTGTGATGTGATTGCGTCAAGAGACACCAAAAAAAATCAAAAAAATGTGTGGGACTTGGTCTGGTCAATGTATCGCAGCTAGTGCGAACTTTGCTGGTTTTCATAATTGCTTTGAGTGGCAGAAAGCTTGCCCTCGAGCAAAGTTTCAGGAGCGGCGAAGAAGCTCACATCCTGTCTGAGCGACCACAAGACATGAACACCAGAAAAAACCAGAAAACATCAGAAAACACGAATGAATTCCCTGACCAAAATCTGATCAAACACCAGACATCACTAGAACTACATCGCAGCATGAGGCATGATGCGCGTGCAAGCTCCTGATCATTGCTGTCGACTGCCTGAAGCACCAGCTAAGAAGATCATTTTCCCTACGAATAGTGACAACCATGTCCCAATCGCGAGGCAACTGATATTCACATATATTCACCATTTGAAATGTGGACATCAACTAATAATTAACTAATATCCTTCCAGGTGTCACATCACAAGCACAGCTCTAAAATACACCGAAAAGCATCATCAACCAGCCAGTAGCAATGGTATGGTATGGCTGTCAGTGATCCCACCATCTGGGAAGCCTTAGAATGGGTCAATCAACTGTGACTATGTTAAACCATACACATCCATACACCATATCCTGGTAATCCTGGTAAACTAACAGTTTACCATGGAAAATCAGCATTGAAATGGGTAAATCATCCAACTAATGCCTCTGCGCAGGATTCGGCAATCAGCCGCTGCTTGTCAATCTTGCCGTTGGGCGTCAATGGCAGGCTGGACAGAGCTGTGATCCTGCGATTTCGCACTGATAGATGCAAGTCATTGCAAGTCCATCATGCAACGTAAAGGTAAACACTCTGTCAAGCAAAAGGTGGTTCATTCAACACCATTCAACACCATTCAACACCATTCAACACCATTCAATAATCAATTCGACCATATGTCATATCATGAAAATCATTTCGAGTTATACTTCACAGTCAGCCTCTGGTAACATATCGGTTTTCCCATATTTTTTCCCCCCACATCGATGGATATTCCGATGGTTTTTTTGATCGTAGAGCCACCTGCTGGGCACCATGTACTGCGGCAGGGTCTTCTGCAGTTCCTGGGACATCTGCTGAGGAATTTTTCACAACTGGATGAAGATTGGATGATGAAGATTGGACTGTGCTGGGATGTTTGCCAGTTGCTCTTTGATCTCTTTGATCTCTTTGCCACACCATTGAAACTAATATTGGAATCTATTGAAATATATTGAAATTAAATCAACATGAACCTCCAGTTCTACATAGTTCTACAGTGTTTACGGTGATCCATCATTTCTCAGTGCGCTGCCATTCTCAATGTGTTGGGAGACAAAGACTCAGGTGTGACCCAAGCCCAGAGTCCATCCTGTCTGCTGTCTTGGAAATTGAAACACCATCAGCTCAGACTACATCTACTGCTGTCCGAAACTCATTGCCTTGGCGACATTGAGTCCCACTGCTACAGCCTGGAGTAGGAAGAGATTCTGTGTATGATGTGTCAACATGTGTCAACATAACTGAACACCATTGAACACCAGCTGTGGATACAGCACCAGAGTCACGTGATTCTTCGAGTTCACTTTTTGCAACATTCTTTTACACACACAGGATTACACACAGGATCGGAAATCGAAAGGTCGACCGTCGCATCAATATCATCAATGCCAAGCGAGACAGCAACAAACTCCAAATCCAAGAAAACCACAAGAAAACCACAAGAAACCCTCAAGAAATCAGAAGATCTTTGGAGCATCTTTGGAACATGGGACTTCTCTCTGCTTTTCCAAACTCAGATGAATTGCTCTGGACATCTCTGGACTCGGACGGCCTGTGCACCCAAGGCTGCCAAAGCAGCCTCAACCTCTGTGAGCTCCTTGGAACATCTTGGAACACTGGAACGCGACAATGAGCTGAGTCTGTTTCTGACTGTTTCTGAGTGTTGCAACATGTTTCAACACAAAAAATTGAACTGAGATCGCGACAATCCGAAATCCTCTGACTTTGACCTACAGATCAAATAGATCAAATAGATCAACATATCACAACATATCACAACATATCACAACATAAGCAAAGCTATGCAAAGCTATGCAGAGCTGTGTGCCATCAAGTCCTTTCTTGAAACAAACTTTGGTCTTTGGACCCAGTAACTCAGCAACTATCAGAGCTGTGCTGAGGCTCCCGAGGTACCGAGGCTCCCACCATCTCATCGTTGCGGCCCAGGTAGAGGAGTTGGCCGCAGGGCAGCCACATCACCAGATCCCCGGTTTTGTACATCCGCTTTCCGTTCAGTGGATTCGTCACAAACTTTTCAGCCGTTTTCGCAGCATCGCGATAGTATCCCTGTGCCAATTGATCACCTCCCAAACAAAGTTCACCCGGTGCACCGATGGGCTGCAAAGATTTAAACATCGATGCTTCAAAGACATAACACTGAACCTTGGCGATAGATGGCGATAGGACATAGCAGGACATCGCAGGATATTGCAGGACATCAAGGTCACTTTTTGTTTCTTTTCCGACTTTTGTGGCAAAAAAACATTGGGATTCCCCGGAAGGAACTGAAGGAACCAGGAAAAAATTCGATGCCAAAGCAAGCCCAGGAGCTCCCATCAACGGGCGACCAATTGGTACATGGTGTTGTGACCGAGATATGGAACACAAAGACAAAAAGGAACCTCCTACTGATGGAGAATCGCCTTGTACATCCTTGGATTTGCTGATTCGGGGTTTCCAAAAAATAAAAAATCTTCACTATAGATTCCCCAAATGGTGGATTTCCTATTGGGAAAATAAGCCAAATCACCTTAAACAAAACCCAGCATCCAATGTAAAGCCCTCTTCAGATTTTTGTATGGTCAATTCTGCCCACGTGGAGACCACGGTGTTTTCCGATGGACCATAGGCGTTCACCAAATGTCGCCCCGGGGCCCAGGTTTCGACCAAGGCTGGGGGGCACGCCTCAGCGGCCACCGCCAATTTCTTCAAGGCCCCAAGGCGCGATGGCTGCAACACCGACAGCGCCGAAGGCGTCAACGTGGCACAGGACACCTTCTGTTGGGTCAAAGCTTCAGCAAAGCCTTCCTCGCCCCAAAGGACCAAACAAGCGCCTCACATGGCAGGCAACCAGGCAACAGCAGGGTGGAGATGATCTGATCATTTATGGACTGTTAGACAGAAATGATAGAAGGTATGTGATAAGGTAATATTCGATGTAAGATATGTAAGGCAAGTGGAAAGCCATGTCAAAGTCTCATTCCAAAAGCCACACCGGCCTTAAATTCCAAACCTAGGGTGCTGGGGTGCTTGTCTGCCAAGACAATGTTCATTGCAACATTTGGCTCTTTTCAATCCGAAGTCAGCAACGGGCCTCCACAGAATGTGCTCAAGTACTCCTGTACCGCACCATCAAATGCAGGTTTGAAGAATTGGAGCACACGGTCTTCCTTGGAAATGTTCATGAGCGCTAGCTGTTCTCTGACCATGTTGGCTGCTGCTCGATGATCAATGGCCACCCCCTGAGCCGGATCGAGCTGGTGGATGGAATGCGTTGAAGTTCGACGTTCAAACTCAGAAATTGCCGACATCTTTCAACATTCTTTCAACATCGTTCAACTCAATTGCCGATATAAAAAGGTGTTTAGTCCCTGTGTCCCTGCCTTGGGTTTTCCCGTGGATCCAGATGTGTAAATGATATAGGCCAAATGTAAAGGAGGAGCCTGTTCAATCTGTTCTATGGAGCTCTTGCCTTTTGGGCCCTGCTCCGGCCACGTTTCTGCCGTGAAGATGTCGCACTCGGCGGCCGTGGCGGCGGTCTCGATCAAGTGACGCTTCTCTTCTCGGCAAAGCATCAGCTTGGGCTGAGCATTCTCCAAAATGTGCTTGATCCGTTCGATGGGATACTCAGGATCAATGGGAACATAAGCAGCCCCCACTCCAAGTGTGGCCCAAATTGCCTGTAGCGAGCTGCCATGGTCATCGTTCTTTTTGCGGCGCATGGAATCGCATGGACTTGTTGATGTTCTGCTCTTTACTATCTTTACATGAAAGAAGTAACATCCAACATTACTGTAAATTTACTATCTGATGTTCTGTTCTTCACTATCTTTACATGAAAGAAGTAACATCCAACATTACTGTAAATTTACTATCTGATGTTCTGTTCTTCACTATCTTTACATGAAAGAAGTAACATCCAACACTACTGTAAATTTACTATCTGATGTTCTGTTCTTCACTATCTTTACATGAAAGAAGTAACATCCAACATTACTGTAAATTTACTATCTGATGTTCTGTTCTTCACATCTTGACATGAAAAGAAGTAACATCCAACATTACTGTAAATTTACTATCT